CAATAATATTATATTAAAAATTAATTAATTAATTTTTTGTTAAAAATTTATACAAATATATCTATATATATAATATATATCTATAATATATTTATAATTTAGACTTAAACAACTTTAATAACTTAAAGTTAAAATTTGAAACAAATTTCTTGTAACAATTTTGTATTATTTTTTCTTATTATTATTTATTCTGAAAGTATTATTTATTTATTTAACAAATTTTATAAAGAAAACTATGTCCGAAGCAAAAAACTTATAAAAGTAAACTTATAAATGTAAAATGTTGGAAAATCTAAGAAATTTTATGAAAAAAAAAAAAAAAGATTAAAAAATATATAAAATATGTTGTAACATATAAAATATATGCAATATATGCAATATATGTATAAAAATGTATAATTTTTCTATAATTTTAAAAGCAAGTTTCACCATTTTTATAATATTGTATTAAAAAAATAATCTTAAAGTTATTAAGTTATAAAAGAAATTATAACTTTCTTGAAACTATATTTTATTTAAAATTCTTTTTCTTATACAATTTTCATAAATTAATTATGAATTTTTTACAATTTTTTTTATATCTTTCTAAAATATATTTTATCTTTTTAAAAATCATTTTTAATTAAAAATTTAATTAATATAAGATCATAAAACTAATTTGCAATGAGAATAACCTATATACTCATATATTGGCCAACACTTATTCATAATATTCTTTATTCATAATATTCTTAAAACTTATTTTTATATGTAACTATATATTTAAATACTGCATAATAATAATTTATATGATCTATTTGAAAAATAAAATATTTATTATTATATGTATAAATGAAATCACCTTGAATTATTTCATTAAAAATCCAAATCTTTACTGACATGCGTACTTATGTATATTCGATGTGTATATATTCGACAACCTTCATGTTTCTCATTGCTACATTTCAACGGAACTTGCGTTTCTCAGGAATACACATATATTAAAAAATATATTGAGTTTAAATAAAATTTGTTCAATATCAAATAGTAAAGAATTAATACTATAAAACATGTCAGACCCAGAACTTGAAGCAATACGACAACAACGTTTAGCTCAGTTGCAATCCCAATATAAGGTAAATTATATTGTATTTTTGACAAGTGTAACCATAAATTATTCAACAAAAATATAAATAAGAATCAAATTAAGTTAATTAATAATTAAAATATTATTTTTAATTTCATGATATAGTATATTTAATTCATTGATTTTAAATTTTTAACCATATTAAGTTATTTATAACTGTATATAAATACTACTTCAATAAGTAGTTATTATAATAATTAGATAATTTTTAAATGTTTAGAATAATAATGCAGAAAATAAACAAGCAATGGAAGAAAAAATACAACAAATGGAAGATATGAGAAATTCTATTCTTAGTCAAGTATTAGATCAATCAGCTAGAGCAAGATGTAAGAATATTATATTTTATGTATATTTTACATTATGCATATAATTTTATAATATATATTATTTCTTTAGTAAATACATTATGTCTTGGTAAACCTGAAAAAGGAAAGATGGTAGAAGATATGATATTAAATATGGCTCAACGAGGTCAATTACCTGGTAAATTAGGGGAAAAAGAACTTATCAGTTTACTTGAAAGTGTAAATCAACAAACACAAAGAAAAACTGTTGTGAAGGTTAGTTATAATATATTATGATATATTTAAAAAGAAATGAATTCATTAATTATTAATTTTAGTTTGACAGACGAAGAGCAGCATTGGATTCTGATGATGATTTATAGCACCTATATACAATTATATGGTTTGTTAAAGATAACATAATATTCTTTATCTAATTTTTGAACAAAAATTAAGATTATAATATTACTGTACGCTTAATTAGTCATACATTTTTATTTTTTATGATATATTGAAATAAAAATTAAAATCTAATATTAATACTTATTTTAATCCAGCTCATGTTTTTAAATTCAACATTCCATTCTTTTATTAATATTCTTAATGCTGTAAATTTGAAATGTTATCTCTTTTTATTAAGTATAGGTAAAAATATACATAAAATGTATTTGAAACAATTATATTTTCATCAAATATTTAAACTTTTCAACATTTATGTGGTATGAAGTATTTTTCATTATAATTACATAAACAAACATATATATATTTAATTTCAAAGTATACAGAACATTATTTACCACTTACATTTTTTCATAAAACTTTAATATATTTTTATTTTTATAATTTATTTTTTTTTTTTTTGTAATATAGAATAAATTTTTCTACGAGGTTTAAAAAAGCTTATTTACGTCTACATATAATTTGTATTGTCTTATGAAAGTTTCATTTAGTTAAGATATTTATTTTTACATTATGTGTACACGATACTAATATATTAGTGGAACATTTTTAGAAAATCGATTCTAGAAGCCAAAACAAATATGTAAGTTATTATTATTATTGAAAAATATTGGCTGATATTTATTCATTAAGTTGTAAGAAAATGAAATTTGCGTTAAATATAATCATTCTATAACTTTTATATCACCGTTTCTCTTTTTGCTTCAATGAAAATTTAAATTGGTTATAAATTAATAAATAACCCTCAACCAATATTTTTGCACTTTAATTTTTGTTTTGATCTCCTAAAATTAAGTCTCCAAAAGTATGTTACGAATATATTAACATTCTGTGTATATCTGTATATATACAGGATAATGCGTAATTCGTAAAATCTCCTGATCTATTTGTATTATGGACTATCTTGTATATATTCATAAAATTTGTTTCATTTTACTAATTACAAAAAATTATCATTTTCATAATTCATGTAATTCAATTAAATTAATATATTAAATTACTGTAATAATAAATAAAATACCAATTATGGTACAATCATATCAATTATGTAAACTTTTTAATATAAAATTAATAAATATTACCTAAATGAAATTGAAATTTACAGATTAAAAATTTACAATTTTATACAATTGTTTAATATAAACAATATGTTAATCCAATTATTCTAATCTTTCTTCATATGATTTGCTCCTGGATGATCTAAAAAATCATTTAATAATATTAAAAGATAAAATATATACATATATCTATATTATATACATAAATATTATAAAAATAAATTTATACCTTCTTCGTCATCATCTGCATCTAAAATATCTGGACAACAAATACCATAACATATTAATGATAAGAATCCTGCTGGTAAACCAAATAAAACCATTGTTAGAATGGGATTACCCATCCACATTGCAGAAAGAGTTGTTTTTAATTCAAACCATGATCTATATATACGTATCAACCAACTATTTCCACCATATCGCTGAAAATATATTATATGATAAAATATATCCCGTAATATTAATCATTTTTATTTTATATATATAAATTTATTTAAAAAAAAAATTTAATTCACCGGAGCACTTTCATTTCGAATTTGCTCTAGGAACAATTCTATCACATGAGGAGTTAATTTTTCAGTTTCATCCTCCGGAATGTGATGATGATTTGTTGTAGTATTAATAACAATTAAACTTGGTAATGGTAAAACCATCATTGCTATACTATTGACTAGATCTGGACTAGCTATCCAACCAAATTGAAAATAACTAAATATAAAAAAAAATAATTACAATCAATTTTATTCAAAATAATAATGCGCAAATTGCTATAATATAACTTACTCATGATATTTTTCTCGTTTGTTTTTAATGATAGATTCTACCATATCTTTAAACCGTGCCATGTGTAGTGGTATTTTTTCTAATTGATTTTCTTCTACTACTGCCAAAACCAAATTTTTATTTGTCAAAAAAAGTTGATTTATGTTTCCTCTTGTTACTTTTGGAAATGTGGGAAAACGTTCTGCATTTATCCATTTATACATTGTCTCATTTAATTTTTCTATATCATCTATATTATGATCTGTATTATAAAATAATTATTAAAAAAATATTATTTAATAATTATTAATATTACTATTTTATTAATTATATATTATAATATATAATTAATGAAAAAAAGTAAAGTAGCTAAAAATATTTCTATACATAATATTAATATATCACAGATATTTACCACTGAAGTTGTAATGTATATTTTCCTTATAAACAAATAATGCTGGAATATTTTCTACAGGAGCATGTTTACTAACAATATTTGGATGAGATTGGTAGAAAAATGCATGTGGTTGGAACACATTTGCAGTCTTATGATAAAATTCCTAAATATATTTATATAAACTAATATTTTTATTAACAATATTTTTATTACATTATAAATAAAATTAAATATTCATCTTACCCATAATGGACCAGATCGTTCTCCAACATATAAAAAGTATATATCATGTTCCTTTTTAATAGTGTCAAAACTTTGAGTTTTTGTTATTCCCTGAACTGGTGGGCCACTTACTCTTAATGCAAATTTTACTATTTCATCTCGTGTTCTATCCCCATTATATATAAATTCTTGCTCACCTTTTAAACTATATATAAAATATAAAAAAATATTATTTTATATATAATTTTATATTATAAAAAAATATAATTTTTTTTCTTACAATATAATAGTTGGAAATCCTTTAACTTTAAAAGCATGAGCAACATTTGTAAATCTAGTACAATCAACTCGTCCAACTCGTATCGATGTTGCATGTAAATATTGTGCTACATGAGCCCAAATTGGTTCTAATCTTTTGCAATGTGCACACCATGGTGCATACATCTATAGAAGAAAAACAATTTTTATAATATATAATTATACAATTATAATTATACAAAGAAACATACAAGATAATTTTCTCATTATATAATATTAAGTAATATTATAACGTAGTAGTATCATTTTATTTGAATAATATAATAGAGAATATAATATAAGAGAATCATATATAGATATAAAATATTTTATACCATTACAAGCCATTGTCCATCTTTATGAATATCCAAAAATCTATAAAAAAAATTTAATAATATAAAAAATTATATAAATATAAAAAAATATTAATATATATCATTGATATTAATATAATATAAAATTAATATTAATCATTACATACCTATCACTTAATTCAAGTACACGTGATGCTATTACAGAAGTAAAAGTACCTGAAAAAACTAAATTATGTTTTAATAATAATACATATATAATAACAATTAATTAATTTAATAATAATAATAATATAATC